GTTTATATGGATTTTCAAAAGGCGTTTGATAAAGTGCCACATAAGAGACTTGTAAGCAAAATAGAAACCCATGGTATTAAAGGGACAGTGGCAGCATGGATACAGAACTGTCTGGGAGACAGAAAGCAGAGAGTGGTGGTGAATGGTTGTTTTTCTGACTGGATGGAGGTGTGCAGTGGTGTCCCCCAGGGGTCAGTATTGGGACCACTGCTGTTTTTGATCTATATAAATGACCTGGACTTGGGTATAGGGAGTACAATTTCCAAGTTTGCAGATGATACTAAGCTAGGAAAAATAGTAAACAGTGAGGAGGATAGTAGCACTGCAAATGGACATAGACAAACTGGTAAAATGGGCCGACAGGTGGCAGATGAAGTTTAATGTGGTTAAATGTGAAGTGATGCATTTTGGGAGGAAGAATAAGGAGAGGCAATATAAGCTGATGGTACAATCTTAACAACAACAAAAACAACAACAACAAGATTCCATTTATTGAGCGCCTTTCATGTCGGGAGGACGTCCCAAGGCGCTGTACAGTTGGGTCAGGACCCGAGCAGGGGGGAAATGGTCAGGGTGAGGGGAGGGAAGGGAGGGAGCGAGGAGGGGGTAGAGAGTTGAGAGGGGAGCTGAAGGCTCGGTCAAAGAGAAAGGTCTTAAGACCGGCCTTGAAGGAGGAAAGGGAGGAGGCGGCGAAGGCACTGGGGGATAGAGTTCCAGAGCCTAGGGGCTGAGAGGCTGAAGGCCCGGCCACCGATGGTAGGGCGGTTGGGGCGGGGGATGTGGAGCAGACCGGAGCCAGAGGAGCGGAGGGTACGGGCGGGTAAGTAGGGGGATAGTAGGTCGGAGAGGTAGGAGGGAGCAAGGCCGTGAATGGCCTTGTAGGTGAGGATGAGGATCTTGAATTCGATCCTCTGGGGGATGGGGAGCCAGTGGAGGCGAGCGAGGGTGGGAGTGATGTGGTCGCGAAGCCTGGTGCGGGACAGTACACGAGCTGCAGAGTTCTGAATGACCTGCAGCTTGTGGAGGGAGGTGCCGGGAAGGCCGGCGAGGAGAGAGTTCCCATAGTCCAGCCTTAAAGGGGGTGAAGGAACAGAGAGACCCGGGGGCTCATATAAGTAAATCTTTGAAGGTGGCAGGACAGGTAGATACAGCTGTTAAAAAAGCATACGGGATACTAGGCTTTATCAATAAGGGCATAGAATACAAAAATCAGGAAGTTATGATGAACCTTTATAAAACACTGGTTAGGCCTCAGCGAGAGACTGTGTTCAATTCTGGCCACCACACTTTAGGAAGGATGTCAAGGCATTGGAGAGGGTGCAAAGGAGATTTACCAGGATGGTACCAGGAATAAGAGACTTCAGTTATTGCAAGAAGCCAGAGATGCTAATATTATTTTCCTTGGAGCAGAGAAGGTTAAGAGGAGACTTAATAGAAGTTTTCAAATTGTGAGGGGATTTGATAGGGTGAACAAGCAGAAAGTATTTCCACTGGCGGGTGGGTCAGTAACCCGAGGACATTGATTTAAAATAGTTGTTAAAAGAAACAGAGGGGAGGTGAGGAGAAATTTTTTCACACAGCGATTTGAAATGGTAGTGGAAGCTGATTCGATAACAACTTTTAAGAGAGAAGTAACTAATTATTTTGGGAGGACAAGTTTGCAGGGCTATGAGGAGAGCGCGGGGGAGTGGGATCGATTTGGACAGCTCTTTTCAAAGAGCCGGCATAGACACGATGGGCTGAATGGCCACCTTCTGTGCTGTGTAATTCTATGATTGTATGATTCAGTGCTCCTGGAGTGTGATCAGGAGGGCGAGCACTGGGTTTCGGTAATGTAGAAGAAGAAAGCCAGATCAGATGGAGTGAATGGAATACACAGTGAGGGAATCAATGGATTATGGACAGAGTGGGAGGGAAGGGGAGGTAAAAGACAGTTGTGACTTGATCCACACAATTCCCTGAGTGGTCCAGTTTGTGTAATGCACATGTCTCCATTGTGTAGCCTTTCCATTGTCTCAGGAGTGTGATCTGATGGGGAGTTTTATGCCCAGTGAAATGTGACTTGCAGGGTCATGGTTCTGATAACATACATGCTGCTTTTAATGCTGCAAATGTTGGCAGTCTTGTTTAAACAGTCCATGAAAAGCCAGATACTGAAAATGAAAACAGTTCAGTGAAGCAGTGCAGGAGCGGTGTTCCAGAAATACTGTACCTGAGCCACAATAAGGATCTCACATGTTATATTCACAAACTGGATTTATTGGGTGAATTGTAGCTTTAGGCATGCAAAATGCAAAATTCATGTCAGCGAATCACAATCCCCATTTTGCACATTGAAAGTCATAAACTAGAAGTTGCCCATAACACAATGAATATAGTTTATAAATGTTGCTCAGTGTCATGGTATGGAGGTGAGGAGGTAGCTCTACATCGCTTTGTATCTGAACTGGGAACAACTTCACTTCAGTGTGCTCAATTTTGCTATAGGAACAAATCAGGATAACCTTTCCTTTCTCAGCATTGTAACTCCTCTCGTTCCGCGACAGACAGAACACTCAGTTACATTTTCTGAATCATGATCTAATCGTCTAATAATAACTGCTCTCTGCCATCAAGAACTACAAAGGGCAATTTCAAGACAGATACCGGGAAGTATTGCTTTGATCAAAAGGTAATTAATTACTAGAATAGGCTTCCCAGAAGGGTGGTTGAGGCCAGGACACTGGATTCATTTAAAAAAAACAGCTCACCAATGTAATAGGAAGACAATATATCCAGACAGTATTCTGGAAGCATGAGATCAAATGAGCCTAAAGTCTTTCTTCACCTGAACCAATTTGCGTGACCTTGTGAACGAAAAATATAAATCATTTGCCTGACTCCACATAAAGGTGTGTCACCAAGATGTTATTAACTTGGATACCTATTTTGAGATCTGGCAACATCTCTTTGGCTTTGTTTTGACCCCAGAATGTATATTTTAATCAATAGTCTATTATCTTCAAAACAGGAGTATAGATTGCATCCACAAGGGTGTCTGTTAAAATGTGTTTGGCAAACTTTATTGTTTGACTGAAATAATGCTGATACCCTGGGAGACTCTTCCTAATGTGTCACCTGTAACCTCATGCACCCCTAACCTGAATACAAAAAACTCTAAATACCTTCTCTCACATCTCTCTATCTTGCACACACTCTTTCACACACACATTCACCACTTATTTTATAAACACTATTATTATTATACTAATTCTTGAATTTGATATAGAACCTTATCAGTTGAAAAGCAGTTCACAGTTTTTCTGTAAAGTGTAGTGACTGTATTTCTAGGTGAAAACAGTAGCCAATTGGCACACGGCAATCCCACAAAAAGCATTGAAGTGGCTTTATTTGGAGGATTGTAGTTCAGGACACAATTCTATCCAAATAGTGGCTTTTCAAATAGTGTCATGGGCTCTTTTAATATTCCACAAGGCACAGAGGAATTTGGTTTAAAATGTCATCGAAAGAATTGGCACCTCTGATGATGCAGCACACTCTAGCATTGCAATTCAGGTGTCAGCTCTGATTAGGAGCTCAAGGTCCCAACATGGGGCTTGAGCCCACAACCTTCTGACTCAAAGGCAAGAGTGCTACCAACAACAACAACTTGCATTTATATAGCACCCCTCACGCAAGGCGTCTCAGAGCACTTGAGTCGACTGAGTCAGGATGACCATTGGCTTTTGCTCCATCTTATTTCTTTTGTTTCCCAAGCAACAAGTGCAGTACCTACTCCCACACATTCTACCTCCCTGTAACCACACTGTTTTCCAACCTAAACGCATTTCTATTCTAACTCAATTCTTTCTCAGGACCTCAAAATTATGGAATGCTTTACATCCATTGGCCTTTCCTATCTTATTCGATTTTAAAGCTTTTGAAGTGCGGGTCACTTCGGTATGCAATTTTTTTGTCAAACACACTTGGCAGCTACTTGACAGTTCTAAATTGCAGATATAAAAAGTAGCTATTATTATTGCTGAAATTTAGACAGCTAATTCCTTGTATAGGGCACTGGGATGCTATGTTTGGAATATCGTGTGCAGTTTTGAGAACCCGACCTTCAAAATTAGATCAGTGCAATGAAGATACTTCAGACAGTCAATAAGGATGATTCTAGGCTTTTGTTCTCTTTTAAGCCCTGAAGCTCTGGAACTCTCTCCCTCACTCCCTCCACCTTGCTCCATTCCTGCCCACTTTCAAATCCTGCCTAAAGATCTTCCTTTTTGATTGTACTTATGATCACCTTCCCCCCCTCCCTCTCACCTTGGGGTCAGATCTGCCACTGTTAAGCGCTCTGGGACGTTACCTGGTGTGAAGGGCGCTATATAAATGCAAGTTGTTGATGTTGTTAATTGTATAAAGCTGAGTCCCAAGTTAAGAATCACAAAGTGAATCAACAGTGAGATAAATAATAAAGCTGGTTTCTTAAATCCACACTACAAGTTGGGGCCAATTAAAATTTATTCAGTAAACAAAAATCCAAATCATGGATATGTTAAGTTTCAAAACAACATCAGTAACAAATTAGTCATTTTGAACAGAAGCCAGTCCTCGTCTTTTATCTGTGTATCCTTTTGCTAAAAAGGGAGCTTTATTCGTCCATTTTTAGGTTATTTATGATTATGCATCTGGTCTCTTTGGTGGTCCATGTGCCTATTTTTATTGAAAGCGTAGTGGTGGATAGGCATTCATGCCTTTCAACTATGTACACCACTCCCCGGTGGTCGACCCACTCAAAGTGCAATGCAGATTTCCACTCTGCTGCTCTGAATCTGGTCTGAATTATTCTCAAAGTTCTGCCCCAGTGACTACACTGAGCAACTGGCTCCTCATTTATTGAGAACTATGCCCCCATTTCTTCATTAGTCAGAACTGCTTGTTTTTTCTCCTCTCAATCCGTATTTAATAGTAAAACTTCTTTTAAACACTTTGTAGGAGAACTCACAGGCATCATAGAAACTACAAAAAGTATTTATTGACAAATATGTTCCCATAAAAGGAGAGACAAAGTGAAACCACAGAATTCAAATGTGTACCACGTTCAGTGTAAATGTCCCAAGAACATTTTGACGCAAGAAGTTGAGGCAGGCAACAGGACAAGAATTGATGCTTTGGTCATGTAAACAGATCTCGTTGGCAACATATTGGAGATTTCTTTTGGGATAAAAATCACTTGCCCAAGTCTTTAATAAGGCAACTGTATTCCCTTTCATTTGGAATCCTCAGATCCTGACACAGAACAAACCAATATATTCAAATTGAATTGTGGATCAAAGATCTTCATGGGGATTAACATCTGTTGCGGTTTCATCTTCCATAGTTTGTCGCCCTTCAGAATGTTCGACATCTTCTGCAGAGAAAAAAACAGAAATAGTTTAATGTCCGAGAAAATTCCAGTTCCAATTTTCAGTCAATTTTCCATTCATAACCAATAACAACAGACTTGCATTTATATGATGCCCCTCATGCAAGATAGCGTCTCTGAGCATGCAGTGGCAGGGTTGAATGCCGAGCAAATACAGCAAATCAAATTAAAATTTATACAGCATTTTTGATATTGGGAGCACATCCGAAGACGCTTAAAAGGGAGCAATTGAGCAAAGGAGCAGGAAGAGGTGACCACAGGTGTTGTTAAAGTAGGAATAAGGTGAGATTTCAACAACAAAATTACATTTATATAGCACCTTTCACGCCAAGAGGAGATCGAAAGCACGGTCGAAGAGGAGGGTCTTGAGACGAGTCTTGAAGGAGACAAGGGAGGGGCTGAGGCAGAGGGACTGCGGGATGGGGTTCCAGAGGGTGAGGTCAGAGTGGAAGAAGGCCCAAGGTAGGTAGACCTACCTTTGTCTCCTTTCAAGCTAGATAAAGAGGGAGTGAGGCGGTAAGGTTGAGGCAGGGAGTTTTAGAGATTAGGGGCACAGCAAACGATGGTGGTGAGGAGTGGGTGGGGGGTGCACAGCGGACCTGGATTAGCTGAGCAAAGGGGATGGGCAGGAGAGTGGGGTTTGAGCAGGTTAGAGTTGCTAGTGTTGAAGAATATCACAGCTCAAGGAAATGATGTTTGATGTTTGCACTGATACTCTAAATACATAGTTGGAGTAGTTCTGCACCCACTTCACCACTTAACTCAGTAACCTTAATGAAGACTACTGTCTATTGAAAAAGCATTTAACATACAAGACAGTCAACTGAGGACACCTAGTGGAAGGCAAGCAACATATTATGAATGTTGGAAAAGTATCTGCAAGTGGATACAGATGGATAATTCAGGTGGAGAATTTTCACACACAGGTGGTTGAAAATGCAGTACTCTCACTTAAAGGTACTGTGCCAACTGCGCCAAATTGCAGGATTTGTGAAAATAAAGAGTGATGCCGAAGGCCATTTTCCTTTCCATTCTTTCGTTGGAACTTTTTTTAAAAAAAATATGGTTGAGAAACAGCCCGATAGCTTAACGCAGACAGAGACTGTGAATCCTGCATATTAGTCCCGCAGTGAAAGGCGCAGTTAATGCATTGTTCAATCCCAGGGATCATTTTTATAATGTACGTTTGTGCAGCCAATTAACCTCCAAACGTATGGCATTAACTCAGTATAAAAGAACATAAATGAGGCAATAATTTGATTAGCAGCAGGAGGGCCAGCCAGTTCCATAGTGGTTTTATAGCCCCATTAGCTATCAAGGTGCTTATTCTTTCCATTTTCAGAGCGCGCACAGAAGAAGAATAATTGAAGTTACAATTACTGAAAATACGTAACATTCAAATATCGTTGTACCTAACGACTCTCAAGTTTTCCCAACCTTAAAAGTTCTCAACATTGCAAAGTGTGATGACAGAGTTCTGTGGGTGGCAATAACTATTTGACCCTTTTAACGTTTTGTACATATTCTACAAAAGCATTGCATACTTCTTAAAGAGATTGTTTGATCGCAGATTCATATCCAGGTGATGTAAGTGAAATCCGAAACTTATCTACCTGGCACTTTGCCTTCCACACAGAGTCCATCTCGGTCTTCATAGCCTTCCGCGCACACACACTTGTAGCTGCCTTCAGTATTAATGCAGGCTTCATTTTCTTGCGTACACACCATGACAGTGAGACTGCATTCATTTATATCTAGACGCACAAAATGTTAAAGATGTTGGGGGTGGGGGGTTGTCTATCAACAGTGCTCAGTGTTTTAACATCACATAAACTTTATTTTGAGGTTACATAACTCTTTCATTCCAACTTTTTAAAAAAAAGAAACACAAGGTACTGAAGTCCCACTGTGGCCTTCGGGGAATTTAGATTTCTGCTTCAGAGTCTCCACACTGTCTATTAGGAACATCTGCTTTCCAGCAGCTGATGCATCAGTTGTGGCATGAACTAGTGCAATGTGTTTTTAAGTCTTTTATTGCTCCCTCCTTGCACTTCATTCTCTTGAAGGTGTTGCTGACTTGTGCTGTGGGCTAGTTTGTAGGTTCACGTCTCTCCAGTAACGTGCCGGAGTGAACACTGAGTGATGCCAGGCTAGCTACAGTGGAGTCCTGTAGCTCAGTGGTTAGAGCACTCGCCTTGCAAGCCAGAGACCTGGGTTTGATTCCGGAGTGGGCAAAACGCTGGACAAGTTTCCTTACTCCACATGCCTCTATTTACCGAGCAGTAAGTAGAAACCCGGTTGTTAGTCGATTGGCTGATCGCTTTTCTGGGGGTAATAATTCCTCCAAATAAATTTAAAAAAATAAATTGGTCACTTCAATTCACGACCGTTTGTGGGACACTGCTGTGCCCAATTGGCTGCCAGGTTTAGCCCACAAATATACAGTCAATTCACTTTACAGTATATTGTGTGAAGCGCTTTGAGACGTCTCAAAGACGTGTTAAGGCGCTATATCAAATGCAAAGATTATCATTATTATTATTCTTGAACATAGGAAACACAATAGGCATCAGAAGCAGACAATATGGCAAATTTTCACACTGATTTTTCACACTGGAATGCTATAGCCGGTTATAGGCCCTCTGCTGCCCCCTTGGCTGAGAACTGTTTTTATCGCAGGATATTGCCACTAACTGCGAAGTACAAACGCATTGCTTTTCAGCTCACCAGAGGAACTTCCTACTAAATAATATCTATAGAATAAACAATGCACATGTTTCTCTACATTTTAAAGTTATCTACTGAATCTGGCTCCTCAAGAGCAATATTATATTGTAGGAAAGTGTCAATAAAAGAACACCCAATATCTAAAGTTAAGTAGAGAAGAACCTTTAACATCTTTTCCCCAATAATGCAATGATCATCATCAACATCATCAACTCCACCAGAAATGCTGCACGTACCTACGCATGTCGCCTCCTCCATCGTGTATCCAGTTGTGCAGTTGATACACTTGTCGGCACCTTCGCTAGTACACGAGTCGCACACATCATTGCAGACTGCACCCAGCGGAAAACAAAGGTAAAATTGACTGCAATTAACTAAAGAGAGTTGCTGTCCATTGACTTACTGTGACCAAAAATAATGAAAACCACTTTGGCAGCTCTAAAATGTGATATTTGCAAATAGCGATTCCTGCCAGTAACCAGTGATAAACCAGCAGGCAATTAGCTCTGACTCGTTCTACATCTGAGGCTACAAGAGCCTCCTGGGGTCAGCTGCAATGCACTGCCACTTACTGGCAGGACTCACTGTTATGCACATGTCCCATTTCAGCCCCCCATTTTCTTATTAATTTTTGTGAACATGATATTTGATACAGCAACTTGTGCAATTCCACAACCTTTCACTTGCCTCATTTTTTTTAATGACAATATTTTCTTAGTCTGTAACAATATCTTCACTATTGACAAAACATTGAGCTCAATGTACCTTTGCAGAGGTAGGACCCCTCTGTGTTAGAACAGTATTGGTGTTGCTCACAAGGAGAGTTCTCCGCACATTCATCAACATCTACAAACAAAGGAAAGAGTCAGCAACAACAAGAAGCATTTATATAGCGCCTTTCACGTGGGGTAGTGTCCCAGAGATCTTTAGTAGGCTGCACAGTGCAGCTTTCCAGAGTCAGATCAGGTTGGAAAACCATTTGCAAGCCAGAACTTTCACATTCAGTTTAGTCTGGATGAACGCACACAGCTGCAAAGGTAAAGTTTGTACTGGTGTCCTAGCAAGTGTTTTTGCAAGTGTGGCTCTGTTCAGAAATCAATCCAACACACCACTCAAGAACCTTTAATATTAAGAAAAGAGTCATTTGCTCAACTATCTCCAATATCAGGCCCTTCTTCATCTGAACTCATCTTGTAATGTAAAGTAGGAAGCCTGGCTTTGTGAATTCTCTGAAAAGTGCATCAGTGCCATCTGCTGGCAGGAAAACATTGCCACAGGTACACTTATCAGTTTCAAATCGGTTTGTATCGAGCAGCACACAACTTGCATTTATTATAGTGTCTTTGAATTATATGGGATGAAGTTCAAATGCAGTTATATAGGATGAAGTTGAAACCCTTACATAGATTTACCTCTCTCTGAAAATAATAACTCATGATGTACATAGGGTTCCGAGTTGCTGCCCTGTGTGAAGGCTTGTATCAATGCAAATTGTTGGTGTTGCAGGCTAAACAGACAGGTGAATCCCATCAGTCACCAATAGGAATTGAAAACCAATGTGAGATTCTTCACATCATGCCACCACAAGATAGATCAGAAGAGATGTTTGATCTCATACTTTGGGAATGCCCACGCTATCTTTTCATTTCTTTTTCTAGCATCAACAACAAAATTAAATTTGTATAGTGCCTTTCACGTCGGGAGGACGTCCCAAGGCGCTGGACAATCAGGGTTTCGGACCCAGTTGAAGAGGAGGGTCTTGAGATGGGTCTTGAAAGAGGCAAGGGAGGGGGCGAGGCGGAGGGACTGCGAGATGTAGATCCAGAGGGTGGGGTGCAGAGTGGCAAAAGGCTCACCCGCCAATGTGGGGCGGGCGAGATGGGGGATGTAAAGCAGCCCAGAGCCCACTGAGCAGAGGGAGCGGGCAGTTTGGTAAGGTGTTAGGAGGTCCCAGAGGTAGGGAGGTGCAAGGCTATGGAGGGCTTTGAAAGTGAGGACCAAGATCTTGAACTGTATCCTCTGTGTGATGGGAAGCCAATGGAGTCGGGCGAGGATGGGGGCGATAGGGTCACGGAGCCTGGTGTGGGAGAGGAAACGGGCTGCAGTATTCTGGATGATCAGCAGCCTGTGGAGGGGAGTTGTGGAGGCCGACAAGCAGGGGTTTGCGTAATCGAGCCTAGATGTTATGAATCTGTGTATGAAGTTCTTGGCAGCCTGCGGTGTGGTGGAGCTGGGTGATGTTGTGGAGGTGGAGAAAGTCAGAGTGGGTCATGGTACGGATGTGGGTATCGATCAAGCAGTTTCTTAAATGAATGCAGTGTCCTAGATGTTGATTATCCTTGTGTGAAGGAATACACTCTGGTGTTTATCCTGAGATTGCTCTTCAAAACACAACCAGTGACCCCTTCTTCTGCTGCCATAGTGTATGAAGTATTTTTCTGGGTTTACTTTCCCATTCAGCACCTTATATGAAGTCAACCTCTGTGATCTCTCTTGAATACTGCAGAGCCCTATAATATCTAGTCACATCCTCAGAGCTGATTTCTGTAACTGTGGTGTCAGTTTGGTTGCTCTTCTTTGCACTGCCTCTTCCAGGATCTGGGCTTCCCCATTTTCTCATGAAGAGATTCAGATGAAGAAAGACCTTCATTCTATCCTTCCAGAATATCTGCTTGAGGGATTTTATCAAAATCTTTTGCAAAAGGAGACTTAATATGTTGTAGATGTATGTGACCCTATGTGTCTGAAATGCTGGTTTGATTTCCAAGTTGTCCTGGGGGTGCTGACAGGCCCCATCACTCATCAAGATAAAACCTATCAGAATCATCAAGAAAATTCAAAGTTTTCCAATTCAAAGCCCTTCACCCTATCCTTCCAGAATACACACCCCACGACCATCACAGCATCAAGCTGTATTTTAAACCTAAAATACAGCTTGATTTCCCCTTGAGTAAATAAATACTTCCTGGTGCCTGCCTTGAAATTACCCTTTGCATTTCTAAACCTGTGTTCTCTTGTTCTACTGCCGCAGTTAATTAGAAAGTAGCCAAGGCGTCCTGAACTCATTATCCACAATACCCACCAACCCATCACCATCAATAAAATTAAAAATGTAATGGAATATTTCTGCCGTCTTTTCAATCTGTAGGTTAAAACTAATCTACAGGGTAGAATTTCAAAACAGCAAAATCATGAGCAGAATTTCAGGGTTTATTTTCTTTCCTCGTTTCAAGATCAGTCACAGTCATAAAATAACTACAACACCAAATTGCTACCAACAAAACACCCTCCACAATAACAGGAGAAGTTTACTTACCCAGACAGACAACTCCGTCAGGAACAGTATCACTATCTTCTTCTACCCAGCCGCTTGCACATATGGTGCAGTGGCTGTTTGAAGGACCAATGCATGTTTTACATCCAGGATGACAAGCTGTAGACAAACCATAAATGTTATACAAACCATTTCATGTTCCACAAGCAATAATGATCCTTGCATTTGATATAGGGGTTTATACATCATGGAGATGTTTCAAAGTGCTTTACAGATTATACTTTAAAGTGGTGTGACCATGCGCATTTTATGGGCGAGAGGAACGACTTGTTCACCTATAAAAATCATAGTCCTATTTGAGACATCTCTTTGAGACATCCTCTCGATGTAAGAGGCACAAAATAACGATTATTATTTTTGATTATAAACCAGCAACGAACACTTCCTGTTGAACCACCCAGCTGTATTGCAGGTTTGAATGTGGATGAGTAAAACCACAGCTTCAATCCTATCAATGGGTGTATCTTTTAATTTGGTAATTGTCCCACTAAAGGCGACATTTTATATTTCCGATCAGTTTCAACCGAGTTTGCAATTTAGGTATTAAAGGACAACATAAGCAAGGCATGCTTGAATAATAATAACCCTTGTATTTGATATTGTGCCTTATCACGTCTGAGATGTCTGAAAGTGCTTCACAGAATATACTGTAAGTTGAATTGACTCGATATTTTGTGAGCGAAACGCAGCAGTCAATTGCGCACAGCAGTGTCCCACAGTCGTGGATTGAAGTGACCAATTTATTATTATTTTTGAAGAAATGATTAACCCCGGAAAAGCGATTCGCCAATCGACTAACAACCAGGTTCCTACTTATTGCTAGGCAAACAGAGGCACATGGAGTAAGGAAACTTGCCCAACACTAATTGTCCTACTAAAGGCAACATTTTATATTTCTGATCAGTTTCGACCCAGTTTACAATTTAGGTATGAAAGGACAAACACAAGCAAGGGAAGCTGGAATAAAACATTATTTGAGCTTTAGCTCGCAATGTACCTGTGCAGATTGAATGGGTTTCATTTTGGAATTCACTGTAGTATCCTTCAGTGCAGTCGAGACACTCTGCTCCTTCATATTCCTTGGTGCAGCTGCAAGAACCATCACCAGTTCGGGTCCCGTCCCCATCGCACGAGCCATGCTCATTGCAAGGTCTATCAGCACCCCCAGGACAACCTGGAAGTCAAACCAGCGAGTATTAGTCAGAGGTCAGCATTTCAGACACATAAGGTCACATATATCTACAAAATGTTAAGTCTGCCTTCAAGTCTTAATGGAAAATGAGTCAGAACTCTGATGAAAGGTTATCAATATAAAACGTTAACTAATGTTCCTCTCTCCATAGATGCTGCCTGACCTGCTGCGTGTTCCCAGCGTCTTCTGTGTTTATTTCAGATTTCCAGCATCTGCAATATTTTCGCTCCCCCCCACCCCAGTCTTGATCTCCCTTTCCAATTGCTGGATGCTGCCTACATGAGTTTTGTGTGCGTGTAACTCAAGTAGTCATGCATCAAACGCACAAGACCCGACAGACAGAATTGGAGGGGGGGAGGGGGCGGGTGGGTGCGAACATTTTACAATCAGGTCAGACCTTGTCCTCGCCAACTTCTATGCATAAAATGTTCAGCAGAGGATATAAGATAGCGAACCGGAAGAGTTGTCATTCCAAACAGTTACAGGTAAGTTTTTAGGAATCACCATCCTGAGACTTGAAAAACGTTTCTGACAAAGTCTTGCAGGCAGAATTCCATTGCAAACTAGCTATCAGTGAATCTCAAGGACATGGATGTGGATCAGTAAAATTTTCCAAGAAAGATCTTGACAAGCAACGCATACGGGCTGATTTCTGTCGAAGGAAACTTAATCCTTTATCCTATGGATAAAGGATACTGAACATAAGAAGTAAAAACAGAAGGAATATGGTCTAGAAATAGGAGAATCTGAAAGAGACCTTGGAATTGAGTTGAGTTGTTGCTTACTAAGTTATTGTTGTCAGTGAGAGGTAACAATAAAGAATGCAAACAGGATGCTCGGCTGCACTGACAACTGAGTTGCGTTTCAATATCCAAATATTATGCTCAAGCTCTGGCATATTGGGTAGAGTTCTGGTCTCAGTGACATAAAAGATGCTAAACTTTAAGACAGTGGAGAGGAGAATAAATGGAACAAGTGGGCTGATCTCCAGTATTAGAGATCTTTGTCTCATTTAATTAAAAATAAATTTAATGGAAAATTTAAGGGCATCCTATAATCTAACTATAGAATAATAAAAGGTTTTGATAGGACAGAGCAGAAAAAAAAAATCCTCTGGTGGGGGAATCCAGAACAAGGGGGCATAATCTTAAAATCAGAGCTAGGCCATTTAGGAGTTAAATTAGGAGGCAGTTTTTCACCCAAAGGGTAGTGGAAATCTGGAACTATCTCCCCCAAAAGGTTGTGAATGCTGTATAGATGAGGCGGATAGATATTTGTTAGGTCAGGGTATTAAAGGATACGGGGCAAGGGTGTGTAACTGGAGTTGAGGTACAGATTAGCCATGATCTTACAGAATGGCAGAACAGGCTTGAGGGGCTGAATGGCCTACTTCTGTTTCTATGTTTCTCAGAGCGAACACTGAGGTATATAAAGAATGAATCGTTACATTTTTCCTTTTAGTTATTTATAAAATACACTAAAAGTTCTATGCTTTGAGAATGGAAGATGACAAACTCCATATCTACTGATTCTGCCTCGTCCATTTCAATGTCAGTCTCACTTTACACGTAGCTCAGCATAATCAGAAGGCGCTCAATAATAAAATGCTGCCTCAAGCATAATAGCATATGGGTTCCCCTGACTGCCAAAATACTGAAAAACACAGATATAACTGTAACACTTAATTAACACAGAAAAGAAGGCTTTTTTCTTAAAAAAAGACAATACTGAGNTTTTTTTCTCCGAACTTAAAGGAAGAAATTAAATATGGAAAAATTGTAACCAGCTTTAGGGCATTCTATAATCTACCTATGATTTCTGCGGTGGCAATTTACATTATGTAAAATGTTGTACTTCACAATATATTTTTAAAAATTGTAGAATTTACAAAATATGTAGTAACATTACCAATGCAGTCTGGACCATAGCTTCCTGCAGGACAGCAAACTTTAATGGTATCCACACAGAACCACAGGAACAAGTTGGGGTTCTTTTTCTGCCTGAAATAAATTGAAAGTTAAAAACATGATTTTCCTAATATATTAGTAATACTTGCATTTGATATAGCACTTTATCACTTCTTTGCGACGTCTCAAAGCGCTTCACAGAATATACTGTAAAATTAATTGACTGTATATTTTGTGGGCGAAACGCAGCAGCCAATTGCGCACAGCAGAGTCCCACAAACAGTCATGGATTGAGTGTCACAATGTTTTTTTTATTAATTTATTTTTGAAGCAAGTATTACCCCCAGAAAGTGATCTACCAATCGACTAACAACCGGGTTCCTACGTACTGCTTGCTGAGCAGAGGCATGTGGAGTAATAATAATAATAATCCTTGCATTTGATATAGCGCTTTTCACTTTGGGAGGACGTCCCAAAGCGCTTCACAGAACACTGTAAAGTGAATTGAATGTATATTTGTGGGCGAACGCGGCAGCCAATTGCGCACAGCAATATCCCACAAACAGTCGTGGATTGAAAATGACCAATTTATTATTGTTTTTGGGTTTGGAGGGATTATTATTAGGCGTGTGGAGTAAGGAAACTTGCCCAACGTTTCACCCTGCCTGGAATTGAACTCAGGTCACTCACTTACAAAGCGAGTGCTCTAACCACTGAGCTACAGGACTCATAATTAGTATTATTATAATCATAATAATAAAACTCTTCTATTTCTCGAGGAAATGTACTTACTGCAGTAAGTACATTGTGATGGTGTAGTTCTCTGCTCTTTGGCTGCAGTTCTCCTTTGCCAGAGCTGAGACTATTCCTGCAGGGATTGTGTCTGAGCCTAACGTCCTTGGGCTGAGAATCCATTGTGCAAAAATAGGTTCAGTGTTCTGGTCAATATCTGCTGCCACATGGACCACCACTCATATNAAAAAAATCTCAACTGGAATTATTGCTGGGCAAAAATAACTATCAAGCTTGCTATGTACCCCATTTAATGCCGATAATATTTTTTAAAAATTAAATTAGAATTAGTTCACCTACTTTATGGTAAATCTTGTGAAGTGCTTGTCTCAGGTCTTCTCAACCTGAAAGGCACTGTACCAAATGCAAGGATAATTATTATTTTTAAATTGAAATTATCAGAATGGAGTAATCATCCACTTGTTTCCACTTGTATAATTATAATAATCATTGCATTTAATAAAAAAACTTTCACACCGGCAAATATCTTAAAAGTGCTTCACCTCATTTACTGTAAAATGCTGCAACTGTATACCTCTAGATAAATGGAGCAGCCAATTTGTGCACAGCAATGTCTCACAAACAGCTGTAAAGTGAATGACCAATTTTATCTGGGTGATTGTTGGCCAGGACACCGTGTGAAATTCCCTTCTCTTTTCGAGTAGTGCCATTAGATCTTTAGCATCATAGGCAGATAGGATCTAGATTTATTTTCTCATCCAAAGGATGGTATATCCTACAATACAGTACTCCCCCACCCACTCTCTCCATAACCCATAAATGTTATATTATGTTTCTGGAAAGGAAACACAAAATTATTGCTTATGTGGCCCACAGACGTTTCTCAAATCTGGCCCTCAACAGCCAAAGGTTGGACCACTCTGGAAACTTAAATGGTACTCACATGTTGAACCACCAGTTCTCAATGTACTCTTCATTTGTTTCCACCATCAGATTGCATTCAAACTCAGAATTCTGACACAGGGATTCAATTATTTCCACAAGACGCGTCTCACTAAATGAAAAAGAACATTCAAGAGAGAAAATTAGAAAGGTTGCAGCAACAAACCAAAAGTCCTGTAGTTGCAATTTAATTGCTTCCAAGTTCACCGTGAATAACTATTTATCGAATATATAATTCCTGAAGCACTGCTGTCGCTGTTCAATTTGTTCTCCGTTTTCCCAGATGTAAGACCTATCTGCAACTGAGCTTTTGGTCATCTTCTCCTCCCTCCCGCCACTTTCCTTCCGCTCCAGCTGACAAGTCAGATGTGAGTAGCACTTTCAGACATCCTCGCGACGTGAAAGGCACTACATAGATTTAAATTGTACTGTAGCCCTCTCAACTCCAGCAAGCCAACCGGTCAGGAATCAGATGTTGCCAAGTAAGGCAGAATCAATCATATTTCTATCATTGTTTCTGAAAACAAGGTGCATCACTTATTCTGCTGGATCTTGCACAAGGAATTTGAATTAGCGACAATTGGGTCTTTCCCCAAACAACTGAAAATGGAGGTCTCAGTGCATCTCTGTTCTCAGTTACAGATTGGTTTGTAGTCTGGTCAAGTGGGATCCTCAATTGGAAGATATTTGCACCATTCAGCTAAGAGGACACACAGTTAGATCAAATAGGGATTTCATTATGTGCATCAGGAGGTAATGTAGCTACTTATGTAGAGAATGACAGGCATTAACAAGCAGTGTTATGGGAAACTGTCTATAGATGGAAGCAATATTGCCCTATAGCTTGTCGATCTCAGCACTGACCGAGGATGTCTGGGGAAAAAAGGGAGTTTCTCTTCTGGGCGAGACAAAAATCCCTCAAATAAAACTGGTCGTTCACTTAATGGCCTTTTGTGGGACACTGCTGTGCTGCATTTTGGAACAAATTGCTAAGTCACTCCACTTTATAGTGTATGTAAATGACATATAAATGACCTGGACTTGGGTACAGGGAGTACAATTTCCAAGTTTGCATATGATACTAAGCTAGGAAAAGTAGTAAACAGTGAGGAGTCTGCAAATGGCATAGACAGACTGGTAAAATGGGCCAACAGGTGGCAGATAAAGTTTAATGTGGAGAAATGCAAAGAAATGCATTTTGGGAGGAAGAATGAGGAGAGAAATATAAGCTGATGGTACAATCTTAAAGGGGGTGAAGGAATAGAGAGACCTGGGGGTACAAAAAAGCTTACAGGATACTAGGTTTTATAAATACGGGCATAGAATACAGAAGTCAGGAAGTTATGATGAACCTTTATAAAACACTGTTTAGACCTCAGCGAGAGACTGATCAGTTCTGACCACCGCACTTTAGGAAGGATGTCAAGGCATTGGAGAGGTTGCAAAGGAGATTTACAGGATGGTTTCAGGAATGAGGGATTTCAGTTATCAGGAGAGGCTGGAGAAGCTCGGAGTATTCTCCTTGGAGCAGAGAAGGTTAAGAGGAGACTTAATAGAAGTTTTCAAAATTATGAGGGGATTCGATAGGGTGAACAAGGAGAAACTACTTCCACTGGCGGGTGGGTCAGTAACCCGAGGACACTGATTTAAAATAGTTATTAAAAGAAACTGGGGGGAGGTGAGGAGAAATTTTTTCATACAGCGATTTGTTCGGATCTGGAACGCATTGCCTGAAATAGTGGTGGAATTCGATTCAATAACAACTTTTAAAAGAGAAATAAACAATTATTTGGGGAGGACAAGTTTGCAGGGCTATGAGGAGAGCGCGGGGGAGTGGGATTGAATTGGATAGCTCTTTTCAAAGAATAGGCACAGATACGATGGGCTGAATGCTACTGCCTCACCCCTCAGGCTGCCGAAACCCTCACCCATGCATTCGTCACATTACTCGATTACTGGAACTCCCTCCTCATCGGCCTTCCCAACTCTTCCCTTCACAAGCTGTAGATCAGCCAAAACTGTGCAACTTGTGTACTCTCACGCACCAGGCTCCATGGCCCCATCACTCCCACCCTCTCCCGACTCCACTGGCTCCCCATCTCCCAGAGGATCAAGTTCAAGATCCTTGTCCTCACCTTTAAGGCCATCCATGGTCTTGCCCCCTCCTACCTCTCTGATCTGCTGACTCCCTACCAACCTGCCCGCTCCCTCCGTTCATCGGGCTCTGGACTGCTCCATGTCTCCCGCCCTACCCTCGCTGGCCGGGCTTTCAGCCTCTCTGCCCCCACACTCTGGAACTCCATCCCACGGTCCCTTTGCCTCGCTTTTTCCCTTGCCTCCTTCAAGGCCGGTCTCAAGACCCTTCTCTTCAACTGTGCCTTTGGTCTCCCTCCCACCTCCCTGCCTTCCCTCACCCCTACACCACCCCTCCCCCATACTCTGGCCCCGACATCTGACTGTTCAGCACTTTGGGATGTCCTCCCGAAGTGAAAGGTACTCTATAAATTTAATTTTGTTGTTGTTGTTGAATGGCCTCTTTCTGTGCTGCATAATTCTATGATTCTATGATATCCTCTGAAGAACCTTGGGTGGTTTTCCCCTAGTGAAAGATGCTACATCAAATACAATTATTATTACTTCTGCCTAAGAAACACTGCCTTGCTCCATACTTCTAATCTGCATTTGAGGTCAAAAGTGAAAGAGTCCATGTGTGGGGACTTTCTGGGTCTTATTCAGAGGTGTCAGTTGTGACTTCCACCAGTTTTCTTTCTTATAAAATGTCAGTATCTCATTATTTTTCTCAATTTCTCTCCATTGGCATATGCCATGTAGCTCATCGTCTGGACTTCTCTTCTTTGGATCCTGGTTGCCCCTGGAATCTGCCCAAGTGCCCACTGTTCATGTGTGAGCCTCGGCAGTGAGTGTGGCAAGCCTGACCTCCCCCCACCACTTCCTTCCCGCAAGCTGCCCCACACACAAAGAATCACAGAATTATACAGCACAGAAGGTGGCCATTTGGCCCATCGTGTCTGTGCTGGCTCTTTTAAAAGAGCTGTCCAAATCAATCCCACTCTCCCGCTCTCTCCCCATAACCCTGTTAACTTGTCCTCCCCAAACAATTATCTACATCTCTCTTAAAAGTTGTTACTGAATCGGCTTCCACTTCCCTTTCAGACATGCAGCAAGGCAGGAAATTACATCAGAGGTGACCTACTGTCCTTGAAATTGTCTGTTTTGAGTACAAAGCCAACCAGTGAACAAGAAATAAGCTGGGCATGCTGCACACATTGAGACATTGAACAGTGCAAGCAAATCCTAATAATACTCCTTGCATTGGAAATGGAACCTTATCAAGTCAGTGAAATGACAAAGCAATTCACATGATATGTGAATCACCCTCCGTTCCACCTATGGTGGCCACACTTTCAGCCACTACGCCCTGAAACTCTCTTCCTCTAGCCCTCTGCCTTGCCCCTTCGATCATGCCTACGGTCACCTCCCCCTCCCCCCGGCTCGGCATTGTGCTCTACCTCGCTCAAGCGCTCTAGGATGCTACCCTGAGTGAGGGGCACTATATAAAGGCAAGTCGATGTTGTTGGTGTACTGTAAAGTGGAGTAATAGTGTAATTTGTAGGCAAGCTTGTTGTGAAATCTATTTGTAGGTGAATCTCCAGCTAATTTGCTTACAGCCATGTCCCACAAAGTGAATAACCAATTTTATCTGGGGGATTGTTGACCAGGACATCAAATAATGTGTTTTCGAATAACTCCACACGTTTTTAATGTAAACCAGAAAAGACAGACGGGACCTCAGTGAATGCAGCAACAGTTAGCACAGCAAAGAAACTTACCAAGGTCACCTTAAAGTTGTTTCACAAACAGCCATGAAATGTCAGGCTGTTACAATACTGTTTTCTGAGGCACATAATAATAATAAGAATCATAATCCTTGCCTTTGATATAGCGCTTTATTACGTCTTCGAGATGTCTCAAAGCGCTTCAAAGAATATGCTGTAAACTGAATTGACTGTGTATTTTGTGGGCGAAACGCAGCAGCCAATTGCTCACAACAGTATCCCACAAACAGTCGTGAATTGAGTGACCAAATTACTTTTTAGAAAGGAATTATCATCCCCGGAAAAGCGATCCGCCAATCGACTAACAACCAGGTTCCTATTTACTGCTAGATAAACAGAGACGTGTGAGGTAAGGAACCTTGCCCAACATTTTGTCCTGCTAGGAATCGAACCCAGGTCCTCTCGCTTGCGAGGCGAGTTCTCTAACCACTGAGCTACAGGACTCCACATACCCAATTTAAAGCCATGAATATGCCAAATGTGAGCAGGTTACTGTGGCATTTGTACAAGCAAAAGAGTCATTAATCCACAAAAATGAGGTGACGCTCCAGGGAATGGCAGGGGTCTCCTTCATGTCACAAACTTCCACATGTGATTGTTATTGCTAACATCCAATTTGTGGGTTGGGTTAACAACCCATGTGCACAACACAGTGCAGCCCTGTTATAACACACTTCACTGTAGTGCAAATTCACTTAGAATGCAGTTGGGCTGCAGACCCCATTTATTACAAATGCGAGCAGATGGCCCACTTGCCTCTCACTTCTTTCACCACTGTATTTACTAAACAGAATAAAACACATGGTTGTCACGAGTGGGTCAAGGTTTATTATAAAAGTACTTACACACCTGAATTCATACTTAGACAATCTTCTTTCTTCCCAGTCTGTATTCCCGCCACCAAAATTCTTTCTGGTAGTGTCTTCTATGCCCTAATTTTAACATTTTAAAAATGGCAAAAAATGATTCATTGTTTACACCAATCAATATTAAACAATAATCCCTGCATTTGATATAGTACCTTTCACATCAGGAGAATGTCTCAAAGTGATTCACAGGATTTTACTATAAAGTCTGGTGTATTTTGTTGGAGAATCTACCCATTTAATTCACATATAATAACATTACATAAGGATTTAATCCAAAACCATGCTAGACAATGCGATGAATGTCTTACTATTATAATAATAATCCTTGCATTTGACACAGTAAATCCCCCGTTTACTCTGGGTATTTACCACATACTCACTGTATCTGGAATTAAACTGTAGCCGACGAGGGCCAAAACCAAAAACATTTTTTCCAAATTCTGCAGACCAAAAATTTTTGCGGGCCCGAGATAGACTTCTGCTGGTTCTGCTGGTGCGTATAGACTTCTGCCGGCCCAACTATCAAATGGCATGCTGAGCAACCCATGTAATGTCACAGTTTCCTGCCTCACTGTCCTTTTCCTGGAGTCCGGTGTCTGTGTGGGTGAATGACTTTTTTTTAAAATACAGCAGTAGAAATGCATATACAGTGCCGGAAAATACAGGTAAATGCATCAACCGCATTTTCTGGCACTGCATATGCATTTTGTGCGTTACCAGCATTGTAATTAAACTTAGCCAGAAATTCTGGCTGATTTATCTACCCCTCATTAGTCCGGCTAGATGGGATTTTTCTGTATAGCATCTTTCATATCAGGAGGACGTCGCAAAGCACTTCATAGGATATACTGTAAAGTGTAGTGACTCTGCATTTGGCAAGTGAACATGGCAGCCAATTTGTGCACAGCAATATTCCACAAACAGTGATTGACAAATTTTTGTTTGGAGATTGTTGACCAGGAACTAGGAGAAACTCCCTTCTCTTTTATGAATAGTGCCTTTCCGGGCAGTAATGATAGATCGTTTTCCAGGTGGTAATAGTACCTTTTAAAAAAAAATTATAATTTGGTCACTCACTCCACAACTGTTTGTGGGACACTGCTGTGCGCAATTGGCTGTCGCATTTTGCCTACAAAATACACAGTCACTAGATTTTACAGTATATGCTGTAAACACTTTGAGACGTCTTCAAAACACGACAAGGCGCAATATTAAATGCAAGGATTATGGTAATATTATTACCATGAGATCTTTAACGTCCACCCGAGCAGGCAGAAGGACCTCAGTTTAATTTTCATCCGAAGGACGGCACCTCCGACAATGCAGCACTGAATTAGAGTGTCAGCTTCGTCTAATATGTGGGTTCAAGTCCTGACATAGAGCTTGAACCAATAACCTCTTGACTCAGAGGCGGGAGTTCAAGATCCTCATCCTCACCTACAAGGCCATTCACGGCCTTGCTCCCTCCTACCTCTCCAACCTACTATCCCCCTACCTACCTGCCCGTACCCTCCGTTCCTCCGGCTCCGGTCTGCTCCACATCCCCCGCCCCAACCGCCCTACCATCGGTGGCCGGGCCTTCAGCCTCTCAGCCCCTCGGCTCTGGAACTCTATCCCCAGTGCCTTCGCCGCCTCCTCCCTTTCCTCCTTCAAGGCCGGTCTCAAGACCTTTCTCTTTGACCGAGCCTTCAGCTCCCCTCTCGACTCTCTACCCCCTCCTCGCTCCCACCCTTCCCTCCCCTCACCCTGACCATTTCCCCCCCAATGCTCGGGTCCCGACCCAACTGTACAGCGCCTTGGGACGTCCTCCCGACGTGAAAGGCGTTCAATAAATAGAATCTTGTTGTTGTTGTTGTTGAGTGCTGCCAGGTGAGTCAGGCTGACCGTTTTTTCAAAAAGTGAATTAATGCAGTATCAATGTTTTACTGTTATCTGCTACAAATCTGCTACACTGGGTGAACATTTCATTCTGCACAATTTATTCCACTTTCGGTTTGTTAATTTTAAACCAATGTCCTCAAATTTCTCTCATGTTCTAAGACACCTGGACTTCCACCTATACCTTACCAATGCCCATTTCAGGCATCCAAAATAGCAGACAACATTCCCAAAGTGGACACATTGTTAAATGACTAGAAATGCAATCCAAAATTTGAATAACTTTGTTGTTAGCAGCTTAATAATAATCCTTGTATTTGATATAGTGCATTACCATGTCTTCGAGACGTCTCAAAGCGCTTCACAGAACATACTGTAAAGTGAACTGGCTGCCGCATTTCACCCACAAAATATAAGGTGCTATATCAAATGCAGGGGTTATTATTATTATTTTGTGTGCAAAATGCCGCAGTCAATTGCGCACAGCAGAGTTCCACAAACAGTCATGATTGACTAACCCTCAGTTTTAAAAAAAATTAAAAGAATCATTAGCCACAGAGAAGCGATCTGCCAATCGACTAACAACCGGGTTCTTACTTAGTGCTAGGTAAACAGAAGAGAGTGGAGAAAGGAAACTTGTCTAATGTTTCGCCCTCCCTGGGAAATGAACCCAGGTCCTCTCAACTGCTCTTAACCAATGCGCTACAGTCCTGTAGCTCAGTGGTTAGAGCACTCGCTTTGCAAGTGAGAGACCTGAGTTCAATTCCAGGCAGAGGGCGAAACCTTGGGCAAGTTTCCTTACTCCACACAGAGCCTAATAATAATCCCTCCAAAAACCAAAAACAATAATAAAATTGGTCATTTTCAATCTACGACTGTTTGTGGGACATTGCTGTGCGCAATTGGCTGCCGCGTTTGCCCACAAATATACAGTCAGTTCACTTTACAGTGTATTCTGTGAAGCGCTTTGGGACGTCCTCCCGACATGAAAAGCGCTATATCAAATGCAAGGATTATTATTATTATAGGACTCCACGAGTCCTGTCATTGGAAACCCTCAGCAAATAAGTACAACAATAACATCAACTATTTGTATTTCTATGGTTAGGATAACACAAAAAAAATATACAACACTCACCTTTAGAAAATTGTTGACTATATTTTTGCAGGTAGAACAAGTTGATTTGTCATAAGTTGCAGTGGAAAGGTGATGTGAAACCAGAAATCCAAATAAGACAAGGCAACACAGGTTTGTGTTGGGGCAATACATTATTATGTTTACAAAGCAGTGATCTTGCAAAAAAAAATGGATAAATGACAGGGCAAATGTAAAATAAATACTGTATCTATTACACCAGGGACTGAAGCCGGTACCCAGTAATACTGCTCAGGAACTTAAATGCAGAAATGTTTGAGGGAGACTATTAGGTGGAGGCAGGAGCTCAGTTTATGTCCTTGTGCCCAGAGCTGCTCACTGAAGCTGGGAGCCCAGGGAGGGAGGGAGGGAGGGAGCCCAGGGAGGGAGCCCAGGGAGGGAGGGAGGGAGGGAGCCCAGGGAGGGAGGGAGGGAGCTGCGGGCAGGTGATGGGTCCTTCTGGTGGTGCCAGAGCTTCCCAGCAGTCAGAATGAAGGTGGTCTCTGGTCAGGCCTCTGGGTCCCTGTGAGGACTCTGAGAGCTGTGTGTGTGTGTGAGCAGTGAGTCTGTGTGAGGAATCTGTGAGCAGTGAGTGTGGTGCGTGTGACTGATGTGGATATTGTGTGTGAGCAGTGATTGTGAGTGTGAGCAGCGATTGTGAGCAGTGAGTGTGTGTGAGCAGTGTGAGCTGTGTGTGTGAGGTGAGTGTGTGTGAGGAGTGAGCAGTGTGTGTGTGTGTGAGGAGTGTGAGCTGTGAGTGTGTGAGTGTGAGCAGTGAGTGTGTGTGAGTATGTGTGAGTGTGAGCAGTGAGTGTGTGTGAGGAGTGAGCAGTGTGTGTGTGTGTGAGGAGTGTGAGCTGTGAGTGTGTGAGTGTGAGCAGTGAGTGTGAGTATGTGAGTGTGAGTGTGAGTATGTGAGTGTGAGCAGTGAGTGTGTGTGTGTGAGCAGTGAGTGTGTGAGTGACTGTGAGCAGTGAGTGAGTGTGTGTGTGTGAGTGTGAGCAGTGAGTGTGAGCAGTGTGTGAGTGAGTGTGAGCAGTGAGTGTGTGTGTGAGTGAGAGCAGTGAGTGTGTGTGAGCAGTGAGTGTGTGTGTGAGTGTGAGCAGTGAGTGTGTGTGTGTGAGCAGTGAGTGTGTGTGTGAGTGAGTGTGAGCAGTGAGTGTGTGTGTGTGAGCAGTGAGTGAGTGTGTGAGTGACTGTGAGCAGTGAGTGAGTGTGTGTGTGTGAGTGTGAGCAGTGAGTGTGTGTGTGAGTGAGTGTGAGCAGTGAGTGTGTGAGTGTGAGCAGTGAGTGTGTGAGTGTGAGCAGTGAGTGTGTGTGTGAGTGAGTGTGAGCAGTGAGTGTGACTGACTCCGGTATCAGACACCCAGTGCCTGTTACCGGCCGGTCTCCCTGTCACTCCAGTGCGCAGGCGCACTCAGGCCGCTTTGGCGACATCCTACACTTCCGGGTGTTTCTCCTCCTCTCCCGATTGGCCAGAATGGCCGTCAGTCACAGGGCGGACCAATCAGACGGCGACACGCTCGGGGCGGCTGATAACCCACGTGTAACCCGCGGTGTCAGTGATTCCTGGAGAGGAGGCGCTCTGACTGTGTGAGAGAGAGAGACGGGGGGAGAGAGAGACGGGGGTGGGGGGGAGAGACAGGGGGGGGGAGAGAGAGACAGGGGGGGAGGAGAAGAGACGGGGGGAGAGAGACGGGGGGGGGGGGGAGAGAGACGGGGGGGGGGGGAGAGAGACGGGGGGGGGGGAGAGAGAGACGGGGGAGGGGGAGAGAGACGGGGGGGGGAGAGAGACGGGGGGGGGGGAGAGAGACGGGGGGGTGGGGGGGAGAGAGACAGGGGGGGGAGAGAGAGACAGGGGGGGGGGAGAGAGAGACGGGGGGGGAGAGAGACGGGGGGGGGGCCTACGCGGGCGCCGTCGGACCATGATAAAGGAGGTGGTTTCCCGTCCAATTAAGTGTCCGGAACAGGGG